TATTTCCCTTGCTGAAATATCTTTACTGAATTCACATCCATTTCCAGGCACCATTCAAAATGCTGGTTACGGTTTGTAAAACCAGTCCAGACTTTTTGAAATACTACAGCTTGTTATATTATCCTGCCTGAGGTTGAAGATCTTCTTGGCGTAGCTTTCTCTCAGTCCTAATGTTGCAGTCCATATGATGATGTGGTAGCAGACTTTGAGATCTGGAAATATAAAAATGTGTTTATAAGGCATAAATACAGCAGAAAGCTCTGTGTATTTTAAAAACTGTATAAATGTTTCTGAACACATAGGCACAGGCTAATTCAAGGCAGAACATCAAAATAACTATCAAGACTGATAAGAGATCTAATAGTTTGAATTGACTGATAGTGAACTCAAGGCACCTATGAACTTATTTTAGGACAGCCATTATCTCTTTTCTAAGCTTTTACATCACCATGGTCCACAGGATGTTTAGTTGAGCATCTGATCATGTGTGCTATGAGCTGTGGTAGTAAAGATAGCCCTCAATAGGGTGAAGATCAAGTATCATGCTGGTGATCCATTTAGTTTAGTGGTTCTCAACCTGTGGGTCCCCAGGTGTTTTGGCCTACAACTCCCAGAAATCCCAGCCAGTTTACCAGTTGTTAGGATTTCTGGGAGTTAAAGGTCAAAACATCTGGTTTAGTTAAGAGGAACAGTAGCACCCCAGTCTAAGCAGTCTAAGCAGTATGGCCTACCACCCCAGTCTAAGCAGTATGGCATTATAGGGCTCAGCAGCTCTACTATAGAACCAGTGTTGTGTAATGGTTTGAATGTTGGACTAGGACATTGGAAGACCTGGCTCTGAATCCTTGATCAGCCATGGAAACCCACTGGGTGAGCTTGGGCAAATCACACTCAGTTTCAGAGGTAATGGCATGTCTCCCCACAACATATTTTGCCAAGAAAACTCTGTGATAGGTCACTTAATCTCCCCATAAGTTGGAATGACATGGAGGCATATAGTAATCACTTATCCACCTTTTGTCTAAGATCAAGTGTACTATATAAGAATAAAATCTCTTTATTGGGTAGCAAGGTCATCTTAAACATTTCCATGCTGTGCAACCCAATCTAGTTCTTCAGCCTTAGAGGACACTGCTGCCCTATAGAGCTAAGATCCATGACAGTGTAACAGTTAAGTTATCCAAAGCTGGCCTCTTAATAGTTTTGTCTGGGCCATCTTACAATATCTATGTTAACTGAAGCAAATCTATTTGGTACTCATGATGTCTGTACTGTATTCAGCATCTACACCTTTTTCTCTACATCTGTTTGGCGAATCAGTGATGCAACTTAAAATGCTGGAATCTACAAAAGCTATTATAGATTTGTGGCTTTTCCCTGAAGGACTTTATGTTCATAAAACAGTCATGCCTTTCCAATTGTACATAAATATAGTTTCTTTGTATTCCTAACATATGTGATCCCTCTCCAAACTCATTTCTACTTTGTGATCCCTCTCCGACCTGCAACCTGAAAACACTATAAAAGAAGACTATCCTAGTCAGGAATCAAATAATATATGTCGAAGACAATATTTATAGACACATTTGACTCCATTGTTAGCCAAATATTAATGATAACTTGATTCCAAACCACGTCCCATTTAAAACAATGGTTTAGTCATCTCATAGCTCACTGATTTCATTACTTCTGCTTAAAACTATCTCCAGTGTGATGGCTAGACTATGCATACCACAAAAGCACCCTGCAGTATGCTTTAAGCCCTGTAATCTGACACAAGCAAAGTCAAGAGGAAGTTCTTAATGCGTGCTAGTATAAACCACATCACACAGTGAAATCAGCTCCACAGAACGCAAACTGTGTGGATATCAGCAAATTGCTGTGTGGATAACATTTCAGCCTTGGAAACCCACTTGATGACCTTCCTTAAGTCATATTCCCTCAGCCTTAGAGAAATGCTGTGACAAACCTCCTCTGAAGGAATCATGCCAAGAAAATGGTATTGATTTAATCACAGTCTGAACATACATAACAATACCATTGCTAATAGTTAAAAAGAAATAATGTGAGTAGTATGGAAGCCAGCAGATTGTAGAATTTGTTGTTTTGTGCCTTCAAGTCATATCCAATTTAAGGCAACCCTAAAATGAACCTATCATAGGGTTTTCTTGGCAGGATTTGTTCAAAGAAGATTTGCTTTTGCCTTCCTCTGATGACAAGATAATGTGATTTACCCAGTATCACCCTGTGAGTTTCTATGGCAGAGCAAGGATTTCAATCCTGGTTTCTAGAGTTGTATTCCAGTGTCCAACCATGCTGTCTCTCATTATAGAATTAACAAAAATTAAATATAGATTTATTTTGCTAAGTTCATATGATTCTATATATTAAAAAAGGAGCTCTAGATAACATGAAAAGTACTCTTTTGCCTTGAATTTAAGTTCTAAGTCAATGTGTTAATTTCTAATATGATGCAGATGTCAATAAACTTTGCATCTAAGGGAGCACGTGTTATTCTTGCATGGGTAACTGGAACAGGAGCAAACCAGGCTACAATAGGACACTCTTTCTTGTTTATATTTTAAAGAATTCTGGGCTGCTTTTCAGGTATAGTCTCCCTGAAGCCACTTATGTTAAATATAGATAAAAGCATAATTGTCATCAAATACAGTGAAAAGTTAGACTAGCAATCAAATCATTTCCAAAGCTAGCATCTTGCTCACATTAATTTAAGCACTGTTTTAAACCCGAAAGCTCAAAGCCACCATCATCACCAGCATAAAACATTCAAAAGTTCAACGTCTTAATAAAAAGCAGCTCAGAATAAATTGGTTTTCATGACCTATTTACAAGTCAGCCCTGAAAGGGCCAAATTTAAGTGCGCGCACACACACACACCAGGTTTTATCACATTTTGCATAATCTAGTTCAAACTCTTTAGGCTTAACAGTCAGTCTCTCTCTCTCTCTCTCTCTCTCTCTCTCTCTCTCTCTCTCATATTCTGCACTGAACATAACATCTGGAGTAAAATCCACAACTTCCTTATTTCTTAGCATCACATCCCAAAGCTTTCTACCACCCAGGAACCTCAAGGAGGGCCCTCTGCTGCTATTAACTTACTGGAAGGGAGAAGAAGGAATGGAGAATCCCTTTAAATCATGAAGATGCAGCTCCATTGAGGTCTTGGAAGAAGGAAAAGGTGCTCCATTGAGAGCATATCCCCATTTCTTCCCCCTCAACTGGGCTTAGAGCAGCTGTTACTCTATGATCTAAATCATCTCTCCCTTCCTCCTTTCTTCATTGATAGCCTACAAAGCAACAGGGACTTAACAGCTGCTGGTTGAAGGGAAGAAGCAGCGCTCTCTGTGCAGAGCTGTGCAAGTGATGTGGGATCTTAGCAACAATAAGTATTCTATTGTGCTAATGGGTAACTTCCAAAATTTTGGGTGTGAAGAAAGAACATGATGACATTATGGATGGAGGCTTCTGAGAGTTGTAGTCTAGATTTCTAAGCTATGATTTACTATACAGTAGAGATGCACCCTAGTTCTCAAGCTGGAGTGAAGTGGTACATTGCTCTCCTAATCTGAAAGCAAGGTTGTTTCCTTTCTTTTAAAGGTTCCCTTTGCCTTTAATGAAATAGAGTATCATATGATTTTTTGTGTGTGAATGAATAAAGCACACCCCCGCCAATATTTCACATGTAATCAAGCATGATTAGAATGTCGTCATGATGGCAAAAGTTATTGATGAAGAAGAACAAACAAGCTAGAAGAAGTTGCAGTTCATTTTTGCCTGTGTGGTATAATAGTTTAAGGTCAGCTGTGACCTACAGTGCTGTGGAATTCAAAGGGGCAGGAATGGAGGGTGAAAGAGAAATGTGTCAAGAGAAAGCATGTCAAGCCAATGCTGTCTGGGACTGCCTTCCATCTGGAAACGGATATCCTCACTGTGGAAGAACATGAAGGTCAAGAATAGGTCTCTACAGTCACCTACAGATCCATTGCCAAGACCTTACACTTGGAAGGAAATCATACTTGGACATGAGTGACTGTTGATGATAATAGTTTAAACAGCGGATTACAAGTCTTCATCCCTTGGCTATGGAAACTCACTGGATGGCCTTGGGCAAATCACAAAGTCTCAGCTTCAGTGGAAGGCAAAGGCAAACCCCTTCTGATTAAATCTTGCCAAGAAAAGCCTATGAAAGATTCTCCTTAGGGTCACCATACAAGACAGAATTACAAGAACCACTGGGAAGGGCAAGGTTCTGCTCCTCCTCCCTCTCCCACAAATTGAGTGCAAACCATTCTTTGCACTTAGAACTCAGTTTGTAGCGACCAAAGTAAGATGAAGATAAAGGGAGGAAATGAGAGGAGGAGAAAAAATGGCATTTGATAATGGGTATAAGGAAGCAGGAACCCCCGGTGGTGCAGCGGGTTAAACCACTGAGCTGCTGACTGCTTTGGCAGGAAGGCAATGGCACTCCATGTAGTCATGCCAGCCACATGACCTTGGAGGCATCTATGAACAACACCGGCTCTTTGGCTTAGAAATGGAGATAAGCACCACCCCCCTGGACTTGGAGATGACTATACTTAATTTTTATTTATTATTTATTTATTTGTGGTATTTGTATACTGCCCTTCTGAACCTCGCAGGGCACTCAGGGCAGTTCACAATTTTGGCAACAATTCAATGCCATCAATAAACTGTATAAAACATCAAAATTGACAATTCCCTGATAATATCAAGGGGAAACATTTACCTTTTTTATCATTGCTACCGTCAACACCATAAGGAAACAATCTTAGATTGCAGTCTAATTGCCTGTATGTTGGTGTCTCATAATGAGAACTTTGCAGAACAGAAAATATTGAGAACATCAATAAATATCACCAATTTACTTGGGCTCTGGAAGTTATTACATGCATAGAGATGGTAAAATGATAATAAATTGTCCTGTTTTCTTCTCCTCCCCCTTGATGTACACCCTTTAGGCAACAAGAGCTGCCCTGACCCAGCACTGTGCAAACCTGGGAGATTCATTGGGCAAAGAAAATGATATTGCATTGATTATTGATGGCCAGACTCTGAAGTACGCCCTTTCCTTTGAAGTCCGGCAGTCCTTCCTGGACCTAGCACTATCCTGCAAAGCTGTCATCTGCTGCAGGTAAGAAAGCTCGAGACCTTTCTATAGGAAGCAAAGGCATCATGCTGTGGGAAAGGGTTGGGCAAGTGCTTGGAGATGTTTTTGGTTAACAACTCCTGTTAGTCCTAGCCAGTAGATCTGTAGTGAGATCCAGAATCATAGTTCTCCTCCCATGAGATAGGATTGTTGTTGCTGTCTGCTTTCAAGTCATTTCAGACTTAGGTTGACCCTGAGTGAGGGCTGGGTAAATGACTTGAAGGGCTGTATCCGGCCCTTGGGCCTTAGTTTGAGGACCCCTGCTCTAAAAAATAAGGATGCACCCTAATTTCAGGTGTGCAGTGTAAGTTTGTATGGCATACTGTGCTCCATACCACATAAGAAGATGGGTTTGCAATATGGAGTTTCAATAAAAATTGATATTCCGTATCATGATGTCACATTTTTCTGCATGTTGCATACTTCAGTCAACAAGGTTTTGTCTTTTTGCTTGCTGGACTTTTACTATGTCTGCAGTAGAAGGTGGCATTGTCTTCTAGTCTACTGATAAGTTTCAATGGAGAAATAAACAGAAGTAGTGGTCTAACTCTGTCCCTGAGCCAAGACTATTGTTGTGCCACTTCCTGTCCTGGGAAAGCCACATTGTCTCCCTACCGCACACCATCCCTATTCACCAATTGATGGGATTGAAGTGGGTCACTGTCAGCCATCACAGTGGTGGAAGCCTCTTTCTTGACAGGACACACACCTTTTGTTAATTCAAAGTTTCTAGGCCAGAGCAGATGTTTTGAAAGGATGTATGGACCTCCAAACGTTGTTGGGTAGTAACACCCATCAATCCTTCCCCTTGGCTATGATGACTAGAGATTATGAGAGTTTAATTCCAAGTAAAGCTGGTGGGCCACAATTTCCCCATTTTTACTAATAGGATGTTTTTCTTTTAACATTCTTTCTCTTGGCTGGGTTGGAAACTTTGTTGTAAAGTGAAGATATAAATGTGTTTACATGGCAGAATTTCTTTAAAAAGACATGCCCTGCTAGACTTACCGGGCGGGGCCGTTGCGGTGGTGGGGGCCCTCCCAGGCCATGGCGTCCAGAGGGGCTTCTCCCTCCCAGACGCCCCTGCGCAGCAGGAGATTTTCCCACTGTCAGGTCAATGAGTCAATCGGTGGCAGGTCCCACCCCGCTTTCCCATTGGCCAAGGTCAGACCTAATCTTGACCAGGCAGCCTTCTTAAGGCTGCCTCAGTCTTGTGCAGGCACCATACCTGCTTTGGTGATCCATCCCACCCACCCGGCAGCATTGTTATGTTTCGTTTCCTGTTGAAAGTTTGTCATGTTTTGGTTTTTCTCACAACTCTCAGGTTGGTGAGTGGCATGGGCCTTGGATCTGGCTTGCTTATCCCCTCCTATTGGAAGGGGGGGGGGCAAAGCATCTTGTGGTACTGGGAGTGCTGTGTAAGCATTTGCCTGATATTGTGCCGGTAGCATCCTAGTGTGGTAAGGGTATCGGTCAGCAGTGGGCTGCCCAATCCTTGATCCAGGACCCATGCATGGCGGCCAACCCTTGTTCCTGTAATCAATAACTAAGTTGTGACCAGTTTATATCCCAAACCGGTGTATGTGTCATCTTTATTCTGCTGGTTGGAGGTGTGTCACGCATGCATACGCAATGCAAAGAGTAATGATCAATAGTTCAGTAGTGTTGTAAATTTTCTTTTCTTTTACATTTGCTTGAACTTCATAACTTTTAGATCAAGTGTAGATGAAGTGTTAACTAATTGTTACTACTAATTGTGATTTCATGCAGCTGTCACAACTTTACAAATTCAAATTGATCTGCAAGAAATACTTTAGTTATAGTCTACTTAGCTGTGAGTTTACAATTTGCTGGTAAGACATAGGGCATATTCAGAAATAATGCTTACTTTTTTTTTTGCTTTTCATACATTTGTGAATCTAATGAAAACCGCCAACATTGCTTAGAACTCTATAGGGATAGGTGTAATGACTAATGGAAGGTTATGATTTTGAAATGGCACCTGTCTAGTTTCTTGGCTGGATTAATAATTTTCAGAAGTGATGCATTACAGAGTAAAGGGCAATTTTAGTGTTGCTCATAAAAATGTCATAGAAATACACTTACATGTTTCTAAACAGGTTTGAAAATCAAATTTGGGTACATAGGAAGTCTCCAGAATATGTGTTTCACATATGGCACGGGCATATATTAAGTTCTCCTATGGGCCTCGTCTTCAGTTTTTGGACTGCCATTCATGTGCCTTTGAAGTAGTTTTCCTCTTTCTTCATTCCCTTTTAATGTCAATTTGTTCAATTAATAATCCTTTATAGCATCAGACAGATTGTCAATGCAGGTTATGATATCCCAATCCAGCAGAATTGCTTTAAAGCAACATCACTGGAAAGAGCAAGAATATAAACTCTGCTTTGTTAACCTTTTGCTAAACCTCAGCTTTTCACATTTATTTTCAAGTAATTCTGTTGATGGAGACCAAAGACCAAGAACAGTTCATGTTGTTACGTGCCTCTCTCTTCCTGCAAAACAGATCCAAATTTGCTATGGTTTTATTTTCAAAAGATTACTCCTGAGAGCCAGCCTCAACAGTGCTTTATGCCTAAAGCCTAGCAAATGAATATACCATATATCTTAAATATATTTAACATGATGTTGGACAGCAAATGCATCTGAAATACCCCTGTGGAAATGAAAAGCTTACCCTGAATTTATGCTGCATTAAATCCTACGAGTGTGTGCAGCTTCACTTTGACGGTGGTGTACTACTAAGCCCTTCTAGATTTGGCAACATTGTGCATTTTTGTGTTTTAAAAAACAGCAACAGAGGCACACCATGATCTCCTTCCCTTCTCACTGTGTTCCCAAGCTCATCAGTGTCTCCACTATTTAATTTGAAATTTCCTTTTCCCTGTGCCAATTGCATGCTAACTTTCTTCCTGTAAAGTTTTAAAGTGCGCTGCCTTACTTGACTCACACTTACACACATGCACACGTCTGATTAAAACAACCCAAAGTGGGATTAAAACTGTTTTCCTTTCTTTAATATCAAGCACACCTGGCAAGCCAAAGCACTGTTTCTGTAAAGCCTTATAGGCTATTAAAGGCATTCCTTCCACTCCCTAGAGATACCCCACTTCACTTATTTTTATTTCCCTTTCTAAACCTATTACATTACATCACCTTCCTTTTTCAGCCTCCCACCCCAACTTCAGCTTGCACATTATTGTATCCTTCCACATTGTTCTTTAGGGTGCTGTTTGGTATATGTGTGTGTTAATTTGATTTTTGAATTTTTTTAAAAAAAATACAATAATAATTGAAACTTCTCTTTGCTGCTTGGCCACCAAAGATAGTGGGAGATGAGATGACGAATGTTGGCAATCTCTTGGTGGTGGAGGAAGATTATGGGTAATCAGCCATGCTGTCAGTCATATGATTTAAGTCTAGCTTTTGAAAAAAGGCTTTGGAAAATGGAATTGGTTTGACTGTATATGGGCCTTTGATCTGTCCCTACAAAGACTGACAATGTCTGAAGGAAGCAGGGCATGACTCTTGAGTTTAAAGAGTTCTTTGACTCAAAGCGTTGTGGAAACTATGTGAAACTGCAGTGCAGTGCAATGCATTTTCAATAGGAAAAAATAATTAAGAGGTGAACATCTTTGTGTATACTTTCCTTTTAAAAAGGAGCCCCTAACAGAAGCATTGAGGGATTTTTTTACACAGTTAACTTGGGACCTTTAGTTAGTTTTGAATAAGAGTCAGTGCTGAAATTGTGCAAGTGTTAAGCAAGCTGTAATAGTGCCTCCGCTTAACAGAAGCATCTTTTCAAAACCTCTCCCCGTGGAAGAACTTATACAAAACTTGCCATAGTTAGGTACCTTGTGATAATGTCCCTTTAAATAAAATACTGAATCCACAAAAACATGCTTGAGGTCACATGTATTTATTCAGTCTCAGCCATCACCAAATCAAAATGCAATTAAACTTTAGATTAAAATAAATTATCAGATAACAACCAGGATGGATGGTAGAGGCTGTTTTCCATACCCGTTGTTCCAGTTTGTTATGGACAGTTCTCATTAATCCTCTGCTGTCTTAATTTTTAGTGGCTTTTAAGATGTTCTAGTTTCTCTCTCCTTCTCTCACTTTTCCCTTTGGTCTCAACCTATTTCCTTTGCTGGAAGCTGAGTTAAAAGTGCAAAGCCTTTCCTAGATTATCTGTTCTTCCTCATTAATAACTTTAGCCATCTGGACCATGGCTTCTTAAACTTTTCCACTCAAGACCCCTTTTGGCCCTAGAAATTTTTACATGATCTCGGGTATATAGGTATATAAAATAGGTATAAATTCAAGAGATTTTTTTACATGATCCTAGATATATAGGTATATAAAATAGGTATAAAATCAAACATTTACTGGGTTGTTGTCGGTTTTTCGGGCTATATGGCCATGTTCTAGAAGCATTCCCTCCTGACGTTTCACCTGCATCTATGGCAAGCATCCTCAGAAGTTGTGAGGATGCTTGCCATAGATGCAGGCAAAATGTCAGGAGGGAATGCTTCTAGAACATGGCCATATAGCCCAAAAAACTTACAGCAACCCAGTGATTCCAGCCAGAAAAGCCTTCGACAATACATCAAACATTTACTGCTAACAAATCAGTATTTTAAAAGCTTGCTAAACAGGGCAACTTTCCTTTTTGTGATGTACAGCTGAAGCATCTTCCGCAGAGTTTACTGTAAATACTACACAACAGATTCATGTAAATGTCCAAAATACCCACTGGCTACCTCATCACACTGGGTTTTTTCCCCCTTATGGATCCAGAAGGATTCCTGAGGTCTCTTGGAGATCTTCCTGTCTTGGAGACTGACGATCCTGTTGACACCCTTGTTGATTGCTATAATAGCGAGATGGCCAAGGCGATTAATACAATCGCTCCCGAACGTCCCCTTTCCTTGCACAGAGTCACACCAGGAAAGTATTCT